TCAGTTACAAATGAGAGATTTTCCCTGCTACTGCTTTTAAAACAATTGCTCAAGGCCTTTGGGTGGTTACTCGTTTCCAATAAGTTGACTCTTATCTTCTGGCATCTGGAACAACAGTTAGTATAACATGACAGAGAGGCAATTTCTTAAAGAGTATGAAAACTGATCTAAAAAAATCTCTTTAAACCTCTATGGGTAACACAGAAGTACAAGATCTACAAAAAGCAACCTAGTGAAATGACAACTTCAACAATGCCACAAAACCATAGACTTTAAATTTTAGGATTACATCAACAGAGTTACTGAAACAAAACAAATATGTTCTGTAGCTACAAATAAACCTTAAGAAAACTACAAATGGATCCAGCAAAAGCAACAAATAAACCATAAGAAAGGTGGAAAGACAGTGGGGCAGTGGTAGGGCAGCTGGCTTGGGACTGGAAAGTAGCAGGTTCGACTTCCTGCCATGCCCGTATGTCGCGGTGTGACATGAGCAAGACGCCCATTACCTGCTCCTCCAGTGCTTACAGAGCTGCCTGCTGCTCCACCCGGGTGTCTCTCACATGTGATGGTTCAATTGCAGAGCATACATTTTATAATTGTATGGGAGCATACAATGATGACAATACACAGCACTTTCACTTTCCTTGTCTTAGGGAATAGAAAAAAAATAGCTTTCCAGCCCAAAATATGCTACAGTATGTTGGAAACCACATTTTATTCAGTCCATTCTGTGTCCACTGTGGAGGTCACATACATGTAACTTATTTGTTCTGTATAGTTTTATTAATAGTCATATTGTTATATTTAGATGTGTCATTAAGTAAGATGTTTGACAAAGAGCATCAACATGTTACATGTTACAGAAAACAAAAAAGGATAACTTTTTACTTTGACCTGAACTGTAGAGGAATCCTTAAATATTTTCATTTTTAAATCTATGTAAAAAATGTTAAATAAAAAAGTTGATTGTCCCTTGTCTGTCTGTCTCATCTCTGTCTTGTTCGTTTTAACCAACTATCGCTGTGGTTTATCTACTGTACTGACATGAAAAAAATTATAATAATTTATTGAGTGATTCTTTTGTAAATATAGAATTGAGAAGCAGTCTCTGTACAGTCAATCAGTTTTTTTATTATCCCAAAAAGTTTCTTGTGCAATGGTTTATGTACCTTAGCTAAGCTTAATATTGAAAACAAATGTAAATACAATGCTTACATGTACAAGGCAAACTATATACAGTATTTGGGGGTCTGAGATGGTGTAGAGGTAGGGCAGCCGACCTGGGATCAGAAAGTAGCTGGCTCAACTCCCTGCCATGCCCACATGTCGTGGTGCCCTTGAGTAAGACAACCAATCCCCAATTGCTGCCCAGGTGCCTACATAGCTGCCCACTGCTCCACCTGGGTGTATCTCACGTGATGGGTTAAATGCAGAGAACTTATTTCATCACTGTATGGTAACAGACAATGATGACAATACATAGCACTTGATTAATTTATTATTATATATTGTACTGTCACAACTTACTGGTATAAATAATTGTTTTGTACCCATAATCATTTAACCAACAAATACAAATCTAAAGATTTGTAGCTCATGAACTTTCATCAAGGCAATTTCATCTATGCACACTTTGTATCAAATCTACTTTATATCCAAACCATTTACAAGTCTGATCTTTAATGCTGGTTAACAACATGCCATGATACATCTATTTTTCCCTGCTTCATAACAGTTGTTTACTTTTACTGGACACAGCTTTGTTTGTCATCAAAATCCATTAGCGCCTTGGACAAAAAGATGCCCAAAACATTTCACAATGCAAAATGTTTCCAAAGCCTTTCCAATTTCTGCTGAAAATCTGTTTAATTTTATCAGCAGAAACATTTTACATTTCGCATCTTTGAAAAACACAATGAAATATTGCTACATAAACAATGATAAAAACTAACGCAATCTTCTGATGACATTGTTGTGGAATAGTTCCAAGGACTTTAATATTGAGGTTTCCTCTTTTATCATCCACACTGACTTATTAAGCTTAATGAAAGATGATGGTAAGAGTTGTTTGTTTGTCCAACACTTGCTATTAGGGCATTCAGCTCCAATTTGTGATCGTAGCATGACAAAGTCAAAACACATATTAAAAATGCAGTGGTTGCAATAAGTAAATGGTAAAATGGTAAATGGACTGTACTAGGGGTGCACCGATAAATCAGCCAGCCGACTTATCGTTCCCGATTTCCTTAATTTTGGGAAATCGGCCCATACTTGCATGAGAAATCGATTTTTACAGATTTTTTGTAGTTTTAACAATTGTCTAAACTTCATTTATATTTCAGAGCTCTACCTCATGACCAGTTAAAACAAGTTTGTATTGTTTCTAGGATATTGTTCATGGGTATGTTTTTCAATAAAATAAGATTGGAAAATTGAAGGTGCATTCTGACCTTATAACACCTGACAGTGTTGCTTATAAAACAAAATTGGTATCGACCAAAATAGGAATCGGCATATCAGGCATTTTAGAGATTGTGATCAGTGGAGAGCATCCTGTGCTCCAGCATCAACGTGTGGCATGGAGGCTGCACAGCTGCAGAAAGAAAAGCTTTGCAGAGAGTTGGTGAAGGCTGCACAGAAGACTGTTGGAGTCAGCCTCCCCACCATCACAAACATCCACACCTCCAGATGCAGGAAGAGGGCCACCTGCATCATGAAGGACCCTACTCACCCAGCACACACATTTTTTGCCCCGCTCCCCTCAGGCAGGAGGTTGCGGAGCATTAAGTGCAGAACCAATCAACTGAGGAACAGCTTCTATCCTGAAGTTGTTATTCATAAATCCGTAACCAGGATAATCACTGTGGGGAAAAAAATCACTGTAATGCCACTTTAATTGGTGATATGTGTTGCTGATTATCCATGCTGCTGATCTCATACTACTGTATTCATTCATACTCATCTACTCACACAGACGTGTGTTCCTGTTGCTGTTGTTCGGCATATTGTTTTGCACTATTAGTGTTTAGCGTATTTCTTAGTTTATATCTTAGATCCTTATTTACTGTTTATTTTTACACTTTATATTTCTGCTATTGTTCGATGCAACTGGGACACTGTGTACGCAATTTCGTTCCTCCTCATGTACCACATGGGATGCAAATGACAATAAAACCTACTTGAACTTGATCGTTTGTGCTTTATCTACAATCCAAAAGACCAAAAATACACTATTTTTGAATTTAAAACAAGTGTGATCTGATGCTGTACCATGGTACCTGCATTGGGCTTTTACTGTGAAAGTCATAACACAACAACTAAAAAGTTACATTAAGAATAAAACCTGGAATAATTTACAAGTTTGTTTGTATAAATGTTCAGGGCATGTACAACTATAATAATCCTGATTATGGCAATAATGAACATGTAATCTTGAGTTTAATAAAAGCAAACCAAAAAAACGATGAGTGCACAATGCACAATTTTTATTATTCAAACTTAATACTGCAGAATAAAAGAGAATCTGAACTCATGCCTGTCTGGTTACATCACATTCAGGGGAGGGGTTTTTTTTTAGTATAAAAGGGACCCCTCCTCAGGCAACTCCAAGTCACATCATAAAATGCAAAGTGACACATGTCCTCTTTCACCAGCCAAGGGTGCCAACAGTCTACTTGATCTAAATAGAGGACACTTGCTTAGAAAAAAAGGTAAACACTTTGTTGCTGGGCATACAAAACACACCTGAAAGTAAGTCAAATATGAAACTGACATGACCTTTTAAAGAACATGACATGCCTGCTGTAAGTTAGATGGCAGCACAAAGTGATCTGACTGTAATGATTAAGCATCTCAGAACAGATAAAAAGTAATTAAAACACAGAAATGCCTTCAAAGATTTGACCTCAAGTGTACGAACCGGCCTAAACAAGATGAATTTGTCAAAAGTCACAGAAATGCTGTTTTCTTTTTTTTCAGTAAAGACAAAGGTATGCGTTTTTTTTTTTTACTGTGGCGTGGGTGATTGTTACTAAGCCGTCGTGGACAGACAGCCACACCGACTGATCGTCCACCATTACGCCTTCATAAAGTCTTTTCACGGTTGAGCTAATCTGACAAAGTTATTAGATCAAAGGTTTACAGAGCCAAAACCACACACATCCACGATTAAAACGAAGGACGGGGGAGCTTAAAATATCCTGGAGCAACACGACTTATTATGTTCATAAATTTGAGTGGCGCAACTTAGCCACGAAGATTAACTGCATATTTGCATCTAACCCATCATCAACAACAACAAGCTATCGGATGCTAACTTGGCTTCCCAACCTGTCCATCTGTCCGGTTGCTCTAAACCAGTCGGCTAAATAAAACGAGCAATCACCCACAATAATTACCAGCGGTTCCAGAGATAACTCTCTTAATCGCTGAAAAACTGCACCCCGTCCGTTTCTAATGCGCTATTACGAACTGTAATAAATATATCTTGGGTGGTTCTACACTTCCAAATAGCGATACACAACAGACAATGACCCCCGTCTCACAGAGCACCGAGTATTACAAGGCAAGCTAACGAGCAAGCTAAGTTAGCCTGCTAAAGCTAACTCCCTGGTCAGCCGTCTGCAAACAGCCGCTAGTATTCAATAACCGAGCGTTAATTACACAGAAATAACTATTCTCACTCTGACAATTTTAGCTTTATTATGAGTAAACACAGCGGATAACTTTCTTGTTTTACCAAAAGCGTGGCAGCCTAATAGAAGTTTGGTCTGAAAAGTTTAGTTAATATGCCTCTACTTTTGAGAGCAGTCTGTGCTGGGTAGGTGTGTGTGTAGCGACACACAAACTGTTACCTCTCGCATGTTAGCTCAGATCAAGCTATGCTAACTGAGCTAACGCCGACAGAAAAAAAAACTTCCGTCATCGTCACATTCTCATTGAATTTTAGGATATTGGATACAAATATATGATATTGAAATAAAGTTGGATGAACTTACGGAGAACAGGGGGAGCTTGGTCGAGTTCCCCTGCAATTTTCACTTCTTTGATGGATTTAGCTGGCTTCTGCGTAAAAAATCCCGGGGATCCCCTCTCTTCTGTCCGCTGCCACTCCGGTTGCCAGATAATGTAATGAGCCACCACAGGCGGCGTCATGCTGCGTTCATACACACCTCGGAAATGTTAAGTACTACTACGTAAGGTAAAATATATTTTGGAACTACTCAACGGAAGTGACGAATTGGGATTTTTTTTTTTTTTGGCCTTTGAGTTTGTTTATATTTATTTCGGTACCCAATTTTGGGAACCGATATTTTGTAGCTCCTCGCGTGTTTTTCCATTTTTATAGACAACTTCAATTAGTGTACGACTTTCTTAAAGGCAACTGTCAAAGTATGAACAGACACATGGAAGGTTCAAGAGAGCTACAAGAATAAAATACATTTTGCTCCAGATCATTGGCTTTATGCTTTTGCTACAACATATCCTATCAAAGGATTACATCTGGGTTTATTAATCTGTACAGGTATAAAAACGACTCTAGCTAAATGTCCCCCTCTTCCTGATAAAAAAGTGAACTAAATTATACCAAAGCCCCGTAACTGATGGGAAAATGATACATCTTTCTTTTTAGAACACTTGAAAGCTCATGTGACTTTTTTTTCTACAGCTTCTACCCTGAAGCTGTTAGACTCATGAATCCTTAAATCACGATTATCACTGTGAAAAAAAACCTGTAATGCCACTTGATTGTTGATATGTGCTGCTGACTATCCATGCTGCTGATCTCATGCAGCTGATTTATTTCATGCTACTGTATTCATTCGTACTCATCTGCTCACACAGACTCATGTTCGTGCTGCTGTTGTTTGGCGCATTGTTTTTGCACTATTAAGTGTTTAGTTACTGCATTGCTGGCAGTAAGTCGGACTCCTTCAGAGTGGCAGTTGGACTCCACCAGGGCTGCCCATTGTCACCAGTTCTGTTCATAACTTTTATGGACAGAATTTCTCGGTGCAGCTAGCTGGCGGAGGGTTTTCAGTTCGGTGGCCTCAGGATTCCATCTTTGCAGATGATGTGGTCCTGTTGGCACCGTCGTGCTGTGATCTTCAGCTCTCACAGGAGCGGTTCGCAGCCGAGTGTGAAGCTGCCGGAATGAAAATCAGCACCTCCAAATCTGAGGCCATGGTCCTCAACCGGAAAAGGGTGGCTTGCTCTCTTCAGGTCGAGAGTGAGGTTCTGTCTCAAGTGACCGAGTTCCTTGGGGTTTTGTTCATGAGCGAGGGAAGAATGGAGCGTGAGATTGACAGATGGATTGGTGCAGCATCTGCAGTATTCCGGACTCTGTACTGGTCCGTTGTGGTGAAGAGAGCTGAGCTGTAAGGCAAAGCTCTCCGTTTACCGGTCGGTCTATGTTCCTACACTCACCTATGGTCATGAGCTCTGGGTAGTGACTGAAAGAATGAGATCACGGACACAGGTGGTTGAAATGAGTTTCTTCTGCAGGGTAGTTGGACTCTCCCTTAGAGACAGGGTAAGAAGTTCAGTTATCCAGGAGAGACTCGGAGTAGAACCAATACTCCTCCACTTCGAGGAGCCAGTTGAGGTGGTTCGGGCATCTGGTAAGGATGCCCCCTGGACGCCTCCCTAGGGAGGTGCTTCGGGCATGTCCGACTGGGAGGAGACCCCGGAGAAGACCCAGGACACGCTGCAGAGACTATGTCTCTTTGTTGGCCTGGGAACTCCTTGGAATCCTCCCAGCAGAGCTGGAAGAGGTGACTGTGGAAAGAGATGTCTGGGCCTCCCTGCTCAAGCTGCTGCTCCCGCAACCCGACTTCGGAATAAGTGGAAGATAATGGAAGGACGGACGAATGAAGTGTTTAGTGTATTCTTAGATTAGCATATTTCTTAGTTCATATCTTAGATCTTACTATTTTTCTTTTACAATTTATGCTGGATGTAACTGGGACACTGTAGTTTCATTCCACCTCATGTACTACATGCAATACGAATTACACTAAAAAAACCTTGACCTCTGCCAATCAGTTTTTACTTTTTCCTCTGTGCATTTTGTTTCCTGGCTAGTCTGGTTAAATCAACACAACTTATGTTATTACAAAATTAAGTAGTGGGAAATCTGTGGACTATTCTTATTGACTCTTTGTTGTTGCAGCACTGGTCAGATTAGTTATTAGCGAAGGCATCTGATTGACAGTTAGCCACACAAACCAACTTTTATTTAATCCCTTCTTACCAAGCCCTTACTTACAAATTACTTAAAAAAGTTCAGAAAGGAGTAATTTTGAAGTGTACAACTTTTTTGCAGACATGAACTGTTCTACATGTGCTGATGAAATGAGTTTGCTGAGATTCTGGTGGCAAAAAAACACATTGGTATCAAAATGCAAATGTTTTAAAATATTTGAGGAGTTTAAAAACAAAGCAGACTTATATTCTTGTTAAAGGAACTTCACTTCTCATCAGAAGTTCTGACAAACAACTAATGAAAATTATCTATTTTTAACAATGCAGCAAAGCAGAATTAAAACCATGTCATTCTGTCATATGATCAATTATATTTATAATTCAAAACTACATCCCGTTCATTAAATCCTGTTTTTACAGAATGATTTTATTCTAGAAAAGAAATGGTGTTTTAATTTCTAGTGAACAGCGTGAAAATCTAACAGGAGTGACCTAATCAGTAATCAAAAACACAAATTTAGTTTGCATTTAGTCACAGAAACAAACTTAAATATTCCTAGCAGAGCATTTCTTTTGACTTCTGTAATACAATGAACTTGTCTACAAGACCCAGACATACAACCCTGTGATTATCATGATTAGAGTAAAAGAGAAGAGCTCAAATTGATAATTTTTAATCAGATTTTATTGGAAATTATTGAAAACAATGTAAGAATAAAAACAGAGGCATTGGATAAAATATGGCTAGTACTCAAGCTTAAACTGTGTGTCCACCCATTACAGTTATTTAAATACCAAGCGTTGAGATACCTACATAGAATAGCTAAAATACTTATCACACTTTACTAAATTGAATTTATAAAATGTCACTGTACAATAAAAGGTTCAACAAGTGGCAATTTATACAAACATATTGTGAAAAGACCATTTAGTAGAACTATCGAGACAAATTAAAATGTAACAAAATAAAATAATTTTTTATTTTTTTCATATCCCAAAAAAAAAAAAAGCTCAAAGTCTTGACATTGTATGCAAAAAGTAATACGCGAACAAGCATTACTTGATCATGGAACTTAAATACATTAGTGAAGTCTGTGTTTTTAGGGTATTGGTGATGATATAATTTCTACTCATCTTTAAATGCATCTATTAAACATAATAAATTGTTTATGGTCTGAAAAAAAATTATACATTGCTAGCATGAAACATGAGACTTTAAAAAATGATATTCTGTGAAAAATAAGTTACAAGTCCCCTAATTTCCTACCATGGATTTTGTGCAAAAATGATCAAGAGTTTAATGTTAGCAACTCTGCTCAAAAACTATTGTACAGGGAGTCCGCAACGATTTGTTCCATGCACGGGACAGAAACAACAGCATCCATACAAACGAAAGGCGAGATGTAAAATATTTAACAGTTACAAAAATAGCAACATGAATAAATTAATTTTTTTCTACGTTTTACTGCTCCCTATCGAAACCCATTGCTTTCCCAATAAATGAAGGGAAAAAAACTCCAGGGAAATATGAAGAAGGGTTCCCTATATGTGAGGCAATGATGTCTTGTTCTCCATCACCATGTGTCCTTCAGTCCTTCTGAACAACAGACCGACCCTGATCTGGTGCCCAGTTTGTGTCGATGTCATCAGTGTTTGTGTTATTGTTTTACAACGTGAAGGGAAATGAATAGTAGGCAATCGGCAATAAATCTTGAGAAGCAAAGTAAAGTGAAGATCCAACCTGTCACTTGTTCAAATCCTCTCAAGCTACAGAGGTCTAGCAGGAAACAGGTTGTTGGGCATCAGCTTGCTGTTTGTGATCATTTACCAGCGATAAGCACAGGTAACACAAGGTGCTTCATAGCAAGCTTGCAAGGCTGGTGGTTGGACCATTTTGCGCTTGAATCTGGACTGGAGGGGGGCCGTCGGTCCACTGTAAGACATATAGTGTAAATTAAGTACAAGATAACATGAATCAGCAACACATGTGAATGTTTTGAACTGAAGTGAAAGGTGGCACGATGTAAAAATTTGGGAGAACTGCTTAAAATCTGCATCACATACACTGATGAGGTTATGTTCAGGGAGGCTGCAGGCAGCAATGTGGTCCTGCAGGAGCTGCTGGGAGAAGTTCTGATGCATCTGTGTTGCTTCATGGGCATCCCTGCTGTTTCCAAGGGCTTTGTTCAAGTCTATGAGCACAACACAACACAGTAAGCACAAACTAAGCACACAAATCAAAGTGGTGTTTTGAATCTAATCAAAGTGGAGAAATGTGCAAAGCACATACTTTATTTGAAATGCTCCAATGGAATTTTAATCTACCATCAATGATGTTTTGTGGCCATAAAAGAAAGAGCAGCAAGTACCTTTCAACAGCGCTGAAGACCAGAGCTGGACAGACATGTCAGGGATCTTACTGGCTAGCTGCATGGCTGGTACAACCATGTTGTTACTTTCCTACATGGAAAAAGGAAAGCCTTTAGTGCTTTGCTGAACAACACAAAAGTGAGTTATTGTCTATAAGCATCTATATAAATAATACATTGTAATAAATCAAAAGCTGTCTGCTAAAAGAGGTGTTGCTACAATAATCAACTGGGAAAAGCTAGCTTGCAACTATGTTTACTGAGTAAAAGTCAACAGTTACTGAATGACTTAGTAGCTATTTTATTATATTCATATGGTATTTAACAAAAAATGTCATGGCCTTGCACTGAAGTGTGTCTTAAAAAAAGACAGGCTGCAGCTAGAAGGCTCATTAGAAAATTGACTGCTGTACAACCACCCGAACTGTTCTTTTAACACCTTCTTGGTTTACAAACGGGGGGGGGGGGGGTGGTATGCCTAAAAATCAGTAAGATCGTGATCTAGAACCAAAGGGAATAATTGTTCAGAGCATGGGTGTCAGAAGCATCTGTAATGTAAGGGGGAGACACTATAGTGTGTGCACGCGCACCAGTGTGCAATAAAGTGTAAACTATTGTACAAAAAGGCAACATTTCATCTAGATTTCCTTACTTTAATTCCATTTAAAGTACGTTTCTCACCAAGTTTGTGTAAAATCAGCTGTTTTAAAGACATTTTAACTTTAATGCACTTTAACACAGTATCAGATCTGCACTATTTGTGTTTGTAGAGAAATAAAAACATCACCACTAGACTTGTTTACTTGTGTTCAACACTACTCATCTAAATGATGTTTCTCACGAAACTTGAGGAAAATAAGGTGTGGTGTTTTAAAGACATTTCAACTTTAATGCACCTGAACACACAGCGTCTCTTACACCTGCAGCGTCTTACAGCCTCACAGTTACTGCTAAGCTAACATGCTACAGACGTAGCACTCCACTTCTCCTCCTAACATGTATATATGTTTATGATCAACCCCAGGTCAACAACTGCCCCGTACTAAGCTTGCTAAGCTGATGATCAACACAGAGGTGTCTCCACCTCCTCCACCTTACTTAAGACCAATTAAAAAAAAAAAAGGATTTTTAGAAATGTTGGCCAACCGCATGAACATGAAAAGTATGAGAATGTACAATACTTAGTTGTTGCTCCTTTTGCCTGGATTACTGCAGCACTGCAGCGTGGTATGCAGTCTGTGGCACTGCTCAGGTGTTACGAGAGCCCAGGTTGCTCTGATAGTGGCCTTCAGCTCTTCTGAATTGTTGGGTCTGGCGTATCGCACCTTCCTCATCACAATAATCTCATAGATTTTCTATGGGGTTAAGGTCAGGTGAGTTTGCTGGCCATTTAAGAACAGTGATACCATGGTCCTTTCATCAAGGACTGGTAGCTTTGTCACTGTGTCCTCATTTACCCATTCATACAGCACTCTACTAGATCTCTACAAAGCTAATTGAACAAATCATTCTAAAGAGACTAATCAGAGCTTTATCACATTCATACACTGATGGGAACACATCAGAGGCTATGAGGGGTTCAGTGTCTTGCCCAGGAACACTTCAGCATGTGACTGCTGGTGGATTCGAACCCCCAACTCTCACAGTGGCGGAGGACTGCTCTAACCACTCAACCACAGCCGCCCCTAAAACTTCCTGGTAGACGACTGCGTTGACCTTGGACCTCAGAAAACACAGTGGACCAACACCAGCAGATGACATGGCCCCCCAAACTATCACTGACTGTAGAAACTTGACACTGGACCTCAAGCAACGTGGATTCTGTGCCTCTCCTCTCTTCCTCCAGACTCCGGGACTTTGATTTCCAAAGGAAATGCAAATTTTACTTTCATCAGAGAACATAACTTTGGACCACTCAGCAGCAGTCCCAGGTGAGACACTTCTGACGCAGTCTCTTGTTCAAGAGTGGCTTGACACAAAGAATGCAACAGCTGAAACCCATGTCTTGCATATGTCTGTGTGTGGTGGTTCTTGATGCCCTGACTTCAGCTGCATTCCACTCTTTGTGAATCTCCCCAACATTTTGAAATGGGTTTTGTTTCACAATCCTCCTGGGTGCAGTTACCACTATTGCTTGTACACTTTTCTCTACCACATTGTCTCCTTCACTTCACCTCTCGGTAATAATGTGCTTGGACACAGAGCTCTGTGAACAGCCAGCCTCTTTAGCAATGAACTTTTGTGTCTTACCCTCCTTGTACAAGGTGTCAATGGTCATCTTTTGGACAACTGTCAAGTCAGCAGTCTCTCCCATGATTGTGCAGCCTACAGATCTAGACTGGGAGACCATTTAAAGGCCTTTGCAAATGTTTTGAGTTAATTAGCTGATTAGAGTGTGACACCAGGCGTCTTCAATATTGAACCTTTTCACAATATTCTAATTTTCTGAGACACTGAATTTGGGGTTTTCATTAGTTGTCAGTTATAATCGCCAACATTAAAAGCAATAAACATTTGAAATATATCAGTCTGTGTGTAATGAGTGAATATAATATACAAGTTTCACTTTTTGAACGGAATTACTGAATTAATCAACTTTTTCACAATATTCTTATTTTTTGACCAGCACCTGTAGATGTGTGTATGATACGTGTACGATTATAGTTGAGCTCTTCACTGGAAAACAATTAGATCACAGCCTAGGCAAGGCCTAGTTTAAATACAACAACAACAAATTGTTTCACACACACCCTTGATGCATCAGTTAACATAACTGCATGTACTTTAACTACTTCAACTACCTACTACAGGTGCATCTTAAAAATTTGAATATCATAAAAAGATTAAAATTTTTCTTGTCAATAATTTCAGAAAGTGAAACTCATTTATGGGTGGCACAGTGGCTCAGTTGGTAGAGCTGCTGCCTCTCAGTGAGAAGGTTACTCCGGTTCAAATCCCGGCCAGGGGCATTTCTGGTTGGTGTTTGCATGTTCTCTCCATGCATGTGTGGGTTTTCTCCAAGTACTCCGTTTTCCTCCCACAGTCCAGAAACATGCATGTTAGGCTGATTGGTAACTCTAAATTGTCTCTAGGTGTGAGTGAGAGAGTGAATGGTTGTTTGTCTAGCTTGTCTGTGTCCCTGTGACGGACTGGAGATCTGTCCAGGGTGTACTCTGCCTCTCTCACCGTGATGGCTGGATATGGAAACAGTGACCCTCGCGACCCAAAAAAGGAAGAAGTGGGTAAAGATAATGGATGGATGGATGTAAACTCATTTATTACATGCATTCATTACACAGAGTGAAATACTTCAAACCTTCATTTCTTGTAATTTTGATGATTATTGCTTACAAATCATGAAAAATCTAAATGCAGTGTGTCAGAAAATGAGAATATTCCACAGCCAGCTTTTGGTACTGCTGGTAGTGTGGGCAGGTGCCAGATCCTGCTGGAAAATGAAATCAGCATCTCCAAAAAGCTTGTCAGCAGAAGGAAGCATGAAGAGTTCTAAATGTCCTGGTAGATGCTGTGTTGACTGGACTTCAGAAAACCCAGTGGAACAACACCAGCAGAGGACATGGCCCCAAACCATCAATGACTGTGGAAACTTCACTCTGGACTTCAAGCAACGTGGATTCTGGACCTCGTCACTCTTCATCCAGACTCTGAGACCTTGATTTCTAAATGACATGGAAATTTACTTTCATCTGAAAGGACATTGGACCACTGAGCAACAGCCCAGTTCTTCTTCTCCTCAGCAGGTAAGACGCTTCTGACATCATCTCTGGTTCAGGAGTGTCTGGACTTAAGGAATGAGACGTTTGTAGCTCATGTCTAGGAGTTAATCAGCTGATCAGGGTGTGACACGAGGAGTTTACAATATTGAACCTCTTCACAATATTCTCATTTTCTGAGACACTGAGTTTTGGTTTTTCATTATTTGTAAGCTATAATCATCAAAATTTCAAGAAATAAAGCCTTGAAATATTTCACTGTGTGTGTAATGATTTTATGTAAAACAGTATACGAGTTTCACTTTCTGAAATGATTGACAATTTTTTTTATTCAAAATTTTCATGGTATTCTAAGTTTTTAGATGCACCTGTAAAGAGTCAAGTTAAAATTTCAAGTGTAGATTCAGTTTTTGCTTATTGCATTTTTTTTTTTAATTTCTCTAAAACAAAAGAAATAAAAGCTGAGTGCATCCTAAAGACTTGCAGCAGACACTCTGCCCCACACAAAGGGTGAAATTCTTTAGAGCACCAGTTTAAATAACGTAGAGGCTGCAACATTAAGTGGATCGCCTGCAAGCAAACCGACAATAATATATACACGTGCAGGTTTTAAACAACAGCCATGTCAAGCTGTACATAACTCAGTTATTGTAAAAGTACACAACAGGAGAATTAAATGTACTTTTTTTACTCTATTTCAACTTATACTTTACAACAACGTTGAAACTCAATTTGTATTTTTCTCTTTTGAATTGTGCAGCTGGGTGATTGGAGGAGTGTTTTTTTAAATTATATGCACTGGCCCAGCACAGAACTGGTGCTATGATAGCACAGACTTTCCTGGGTCAAAGCCAGTGTTGATGACATAGAAAGAAATGGATTGAACTGAGGCGCCGACTAAGACTCTCTTTGGTTTAACAAGGCCCAACACAAACACATAGAGCCTCTAAAAAGAACAGAACATTTTTAATCCTAAAGTATCTTTTCATTTTTACTTTATTCATAAAAAAGAAATCCTCATTGAACTAATAATAATAATAGTATTAATAAAAAGAAGAAGAGCCAGTGTGGCAAGCTTTAGGGCCATTTGTTGTGAAAAATCTATCTAAATCTATTAATTAAATTTATTTTGAAATGCAGTTGTAATTTATACACTGCCTTCTTATACTGGCCAGGATAAATGATCAAACCCTTTATTTTTAAAGGGTCAATGTAATTCAATAAAAGAAATGTTTCTAAAATAAATCAGAATGAGCCGTTTATTGGATCATGTGTTTTAACATCCTCAGTCCAGTTGGTTCAAGTTAAAATGAAGCTAGCATTTTTTGTGATCACAAGTCCTGTTTGCCAAGTATTCAGTCTTACTCTATGGTTGCCCAGTACGTAGAAAATGTGGCCCAGCAGAACCAGAGAGCAGGCAGTGAGTCTGTTCAGATCTTCTGCGTTAGACATCTTCAGAGTTTCTCTAAGGAAACGTCTGCAACACATAAAACAGTTGTCAGTGTGAGGTATGTCTTCAGGTGTGTTGGACTCTACGCTCGAGACTTTCATACTTTGCCTCATTGTAGCGTCCCTGAAAGAAGGATAAGAGACCCCTGATGTAAAAGGCTGCAGCACGTAGGCAGTGGGAGCTGAAACACATACAAATATTGCACATTTAATAACATAAACAACAAAACACACTTCATTAATGAAATACACTTTTGCAAATGCACAAGAAAAAAAATCAATCAATCAAAGCTTACCTCACTGGGAAGTTGTGGTCTGGGTTTATTCTCTCTAGAAGATTGTAAAGCTGGAGGAAAAAGAAAACAAAAAGCTTGTCAAGAGAAACAAAATCTATTTTCATTCTTTGTAAAAACGTACATTTCATTTTTCCTGTATCTAATTTAAAACCAACAATAACTTTTGACGTCTTAGTTATGTGTACTTAGTATCATCGGCACCCTCTGGTGGAGATATAATGTAAAGAAAACACCACTTTAGATGGTATCAAAAAAAGAACAAGTTGATGGGAATTTCTTTACTTTTTCTGGTTGATAATAAATTTAACAGATCCTTTCCAAAGGGAGACATTTGTTTTTCATTACTGCGATAAAAACATTAAAATCACGGGCTAACTGACCTCCTGGTGCCGATTTCCTTCCCTTATGTACACACTAGCCAAGTTGGTTACAATATATGTCCACAGCTCCTGGTGTGTGGTGAGCTGAAACAGAAGAGATTATTTCAACAAAAAGCAGAATAAATTATACCGTGGGGGGAATCAAAGCAGTTACAAGGGGTGAGGAGACACAGATGGACTCACCCGTAGTGCTGTAGTAAACTGTGCCTCAGCATTGTCCATACAGTTCACTGAGATACAGTACAAACCCTGGAAGATAACGCAGTAAGACATTCTGAATTATTACATTTTATATTAAACTATATACATATATAATATATACATTTCTAAATTACTCAGATACATATTGCTTCCATAAGTGTTCCTTTCCTTCCTATACTTTACACTTTTAACTGCTACAACCGCCAATAACCTGTCTAAATAAAGGTTGATTGATAACCAATAACTATTAATAACCACAGCAGATCTGAGCTATTTTAATTCACTTGTTAAGAATAAGTGGCCTAAAATTCTAAGGTTCTAGAATTGCTCCGCTCAAGGTGGCTGCATGTTGGAGCAGCTCTGTTACTTTCATTCTGAGATTTTGCTTTTGGAAACTTTAATTCCTCTTTTTCTGGATGTAAATCACATCTTTTGGATGATTGTTTCCTCTGGTATCGGATGCTGTGCAGCTGGAAGGATTTTTACTGAAACTTTTTTAGTTTTGGACATTTGTTATGATGCGTAACCATGGCAACAAGGCAGTTTCTACAACCAACAGCAGCCGATTAACATCTCAAAAGCTCAAGTAATATCTCAACTACAGCCCTAAATTTCAAATGAGTTGAAAAGGATGTTCTGTGGACACATTCTCATCTACCTGCCAGCTGTGCTCGAGTGCCTGGCCACTGAGATCCTGGAACTAGCAGGAAACATGGCTCATGACAGCGGAAGGACAGGATCGTCCATCAGCACCTACAGTTGGCTGTCTGCAGCAATGAGGAGCTCAACAAGCTGCTGGGAGGAGTGGCCATTGCCCTGGGAGGATTTCTGCCCAACATGCAGGTGATCCTGAAGCCCAGGAGGCCAACCAAGTGCAAGTAAATGGATCAACATCTGTGGCCAGTTTTTTCAGATCTGCTATAAGACGGACCATCACAAGAGATCCTTCCCGCCCACAACCATCAACATCTAGAACAACTCTTTTATGAAACAAGGAAAATGAGCTACAGCAACATTTAATTTCCCTCTGGGATTAATAAAGTATTTTTGAATTGAATTGAATTGAAATTAGTTTGTCGTTACAACAATAGCTTCATATTCTTTTTAACATACCGGTAAGTGAAAATATAAAGGAACTCAGAAACAACTTTGTTGAAGTAGTTGCACTTTGTCACGATAAAGGCCTAGTTTTAAAATCTGTCCATCCATCCATCCATTATCTTTTACCCGCTTCTTCCATTTTGGGTCACGGGGGTCCAGTAATCAATGTGCGAGGTAATGTTTAATATAATTTTATATTTTATATGTTCTAAACGCTTAAACCTATGTAATCTTAATTATTTCGTCCATGATTTTTCTCCATTGAGGGGGGGACACATTGTACCAGCAGTCGTGGAGGGGGGAGAGACGGACAGAGCTGAGCTGCACATTGTTTGGCAGGGGTTTGCGTGTGGTCTGGTCCAGTAGGTGGGCGCTCGGTTCTGTTAATGGGGCAGGGCGCCCCGCTTGTATAATGGTAGGAGAAACACTGTAAAGTACTGCAAAATAAAAAGATCTGCTGCTCTCTTTCACTGTGTTCTTAAAAAAAAAAAAAAAAAAGGAGCACAGTGAAAGAGCAGACAGACTGATGCTACGATTACTGAGTCAATCAGTGCCTGGGATACAGAGCACTGGTTGGTCGCCTTCCATCAATCAGCCAATCGTGTGTCGTGTCCAATCTTACGTTGAAAACCCGCAAAAGAGTGAGTCCGCAAAAGTCGAACCGCAAAGTGGCGAGGGACTACTATACTTGTTTAAAGGCATGGCCTTCAAACTGTGGTACAAGTACCACTAGTAGTGCTCAGAAGAAATTTTGGCATCACCTATATACAAGTTTAACATCTAGCTGTTGTAAGCGAAGCTGTGATGTAGAGCTAAAAGGCAGCCAAAAATATGAGCGGTTCAAACAAATGCTCTTAATGCTAAATGGAAACTTAACAAAACAAAAGTGCTGCGCTTCAATATTTTGAGACTCCTGTTGGAAACTGGAGTGGACAATGTGTATCCAACACTGTAGTAGTTACTTAAGCAGCATTAGTAAGGTTTCTATACTGCCTGTTATCAATCATAGCATGCAAAACAGAAAGGACATTGTGATACAAATCGTCTCAAACTTGTATTATGGCAACAAAAAGGAAGTACAAAGACTACAATATGTGGTAAGTGGTGATGTCCTCAGCTGACACTACAAGGAACATCTTAATGTGCAGCCTTCAACCAGGGTTAGCTTGGACAGTTTGCTTGTTTAAGTCGGATATGGAAACAAGCTTATGCAGATGTTTTTAATGTGTCATAACGCTGGGTACTTTGAAAACTTTTTCCATGTGATACTCTTTATAGAAAATTTGTGAACCACTCATCATCCAAATATTTTTCAATTCAATTCAATTCAGTTTATTTACACAGTGCCAAGTCACAACAGAGGTCATCTCAGGGCATTGATTTTAAATACTTAAAGGAATATGCATGTGCAATATTTATAACCAAGTTTGAGACTGGACAGTGAATTGTGAAGTCCAATTCTTGATAAAGAGAAGGTTTTCTTAGAAAACATTGGTCAAATTTATTTCAGCAAACCAAGCATGCTGTATGTGTAGATGAGAACAGTGGAATATATTTGCCATTGGGTCACTTTTTAATTTTATTATTTTACTATTTTTCCACAAAGACAGAACTCTGGATTTCTTTTTTTTCATAGGATTTAAGTGTACTACAGTAAGAGTCATTTAGATTAAAAAAAACTAGAATTTTCTCAGTTTTGACTTGATTGATGTGAATAGGAAGTTGCAGCAGTATCACTTTAAATGCAGCAGGTCAGTAAACATTCATTATATTCTCAGTTTTTATGTTGTAGTGTTAAAAAAAACATTTCGATGATACACTGAATAAAGATAAGACACATAAACAAGTGTATTTATTTAATCAAGTGATTCCTCTGAAAACTTGGTACACACCAATTCAGTGTGAGAGTATCCATTGTTGTGAATACAATAAAGGTCCAGACTTGAACAGTGTTGAAAGTGAAAAGTTTTGTAAGGTTGTTGATGGTTTAAACGTTTCTGGAAAATCCCCAGGGTACGTACTCAGTCCTGACACTGACCATCAGATTGTGACCATCGAGAGTGACATCACGAGCGCCTAGAGCTGAGTACCGAACCGAGGTTCTTTTATGGCACCCACCGAACTGCACCGGTCGGTGTATGGATTGAAACGTCACTTTTTTCTGTGTCAAGTTTCAGTATTGGCTGTAAGGTGTCACATGGTTTCAGCACGCAGGCAAGTAAAACACCAGACATATGACAAACAGACTACGTGTTTACACCCAGAGCTGTATAGAGCTGCTGTACTTAATCTATGTATAATGTATGTCTTTGGTGCTGGTGACGCCCACAGACGGGGTTCACGTGTGCAGCGCGTGTTGTCGAACGGCTTCGACAACACACGAGCAGAAAGTTGCTTCATGTTTTACTGCAAGAAGACAGACGGACAGCAGCCTCCCCCCTCCTCTCAGCGTTAGTCTCTGTGTGTGTTAAACGGACTGAATCAACATCTCCACGGCCGGACTCGCCTTCATCAAAGAACTCCCGAGGACGGCTCTGTGTCTATTTCAGCTGGTAAGTTTATGTTTGTTAACGTTACTGCAGCTTAACACGTACATCGCGGTGAATTAAACTAGAATCCATGTAACGCTAACTTTAAGATATTAGTGTGTAAATTTATTTTATCTACGTGGCTAGCTAAACTCAGAAGCTAACTAAAGATTGACAGTAACAGATGAAGCTTAGCTTGTAAAACTGTGCTCATCCATCCAGTCAGCTGCTTAAACAGTTCATCTGATGTTCATCGTTTGTTAATGTCCTCACAGGAGGTTCTGACCCAGATGTGAGGACAGACAGACAAAAGAAAAGTGAGGTGGGGGCCACAGGACAATCACAAACTTTGTTGTTAAAAGTTTGCTGTCTTTTTTCTGCATGGTGGAGGTAAGTTAAGCTGTAAAGGATTTTGTTGATAGTTAAGCTTTTATCTCTCAGCCTAGATAATGGTTTTTGAGCAATAATAACACAACCGTGTTATTGTTGATGTTTTGTGTTCTGATGTCAGTTAGGGAGATGATCAGAGCCCTAAACCCCAGAGAACAGAGAAGATTCAGGAAGAGACACAGAGGTGCAGATGTCTGCATCAACCCTAACCTCAGTGAATCCAGTGACCTGCTGGTGGGATGTGAGGGACAATATGCCAGTGCTATCAAACTGGCAACCAGGTATCTGTGTGTGCAACAATCATCATCCACACTCTCAGAGCAAACATTTCCTACTGCTGGAGACACCATCAGCCAGGAGTGGGCTTGTTTGTGGCCAGAGAAAGCAGACATGTTGTTTCTGAAGAAAAACAGTTAAGTGAAAAGGTCCTCAGTGTGTAGCAGTGAGCATTAGACACTGACGTGTCACTGGTTTGTAACTGCAACTGGAAATTATTTGTTTATTTTTATGTAAGAAAACTGCTTGGAATAGAAAAATACCAAAGTTAAAAAATAAAATTCACAATTTGTACTGTAATGTGTAACCTATTTTTATTCTTATTAGAATTAATAGTAATTACACAATTGGTACCGAAAAAAGAACCGTCCAGGAACCAACACCGAAGTGAAGGTACCGACACCGGTACAGATTATTTTTAGAAAGGTACCCAGACCTACGAGCGCCACAGTATGGCCACACTAATGGGAGCTCCGCTTCGACTATCTTTTTTTGTTCCTGTTGTTCTTGTTTTAACCTTTTTTTTGCGCTTACACCACACACCCACGCTACGGGTATGACCTTTTGTATGTCGTTGCCTTGCTATCGTGCCATCCTGCCGTCGTGGTTAGTTCCCGGTCCCTCCAGGCTCTGGCCTGTCATAGCGACTGTCTCCATGATCCTCCGTCTGCCTGCATGGACCAAACTCTATGGACCCGTTTGGTTCCGCGGGGAAACATTGGATGTTCTCGGTCTACTGGACCCGGTTCTGGACTGCGGTCTGAGGGCAGCTGTTGTGGTCGTTATTACCATCAAGCTGCTGACCGGACCTGCTAACAAGACCACGTCGCTAACAGAACAGAATCATGCTGCAGATGTACAGTTTTTCTTTTTCAACTTTGGTGCCTTGTTTTCAGTATTTTAGTAGTATTTTAGTATGTTTTAGTATTTTTGCTGCATGCTTTGGTATTTCTTGTTTCTTGTTTGGCGAGTCGAGACGGTTCTTCTCGTCCTGAGCATTTCATTGCATTGTTGACCTTGTGTTGATTTTAGATATGACAAATAAACTGAACCTGATTAACACAAACAAGTAAGTGCCTGTCAGAAGAGCTTTGATGTGCACAGTCTCTTCAAGACACTGATTATAATTATACAATAACACCCAACAAATTAAAGAAAGGTTTGATTTAAAATACTCACTAATAGTGTGTGGAGCTGAGCAGCATGGTTGGTGAATAACCTGGGGGACTGCTGGCACAACTGACAAACCTGTGAGATCTGCACACACAGAAACAAGACTTAGTCAAGGATTTGGACATGACTGGGCTGGGGTTGCTGAAATTGGTGTATTTTTTTTATCTTGAATGGACACAATTTAATAAGATAAAATTTACAAGATGATAATAACAAATAAAATAAAGTACCTCTTGTAATGCTGTGGCTTTGTGGCCTGTAACAAGTCGACACATGATGATGTGCTCCAGCAGAATGACTTGAAAGGTGGAGAGGATGGGGCTGCAGTCCAACACTGAAAAGATCAAATGAAAACAAGAAATGCATCCGTTAAATATTTTTGTACCGCTTAGAAAAAGCTGTGCTTAATACGATAAACACATCCATGGCATAAAGTTTCAAACTCACTTTTAAGTTTTTCTAGTTGCATAAGAGCCTTGTCTGTGTACTTCTGTGCTTTCTCCAGGTAGCCTGCTTGCATGGAGTGCATGACAGTCACCTGAAAAATGAAACCACACACAAAAGGTATGTTCAACAATTTCCTGCGGGATCAATAAAGTTCTATCTTATCGGGTTTTTTTTTTTAAATAGTCATAAATAAACAAAAAGACAGTTCAAAGTTCTCACTTTGAGCATGATGCGCTCAAACACTGTCATTTAGACTAATGTGATTATTAATGGTGGAGAAACCAAATCTTTCTGCATCACTGATTCAATATAAAAAAACTGTTGAAATGGTTCTGTTTAAAAGCATTTTATACAAGTATGGCACCATCTGCTGGCCTACATTCAGTTGCATGAACCAACAGGCAAGGTGTCATTAAACATGCACTGTTACATGTAAGAATTCTACGTGCATAGTAAAAAATTTGACTATTTTCTCTTAAAGACATTATTAATTATTACTTATGTCACAAGGTGATTCATTATAAATTACTGCATGTAAAAGAAACCCGGGCACCTGCTCAGCAGAGCCGGTGGGGCAGCCCCATTTCAAAAAGTGCTGTTCATATTGATATCAACAACTCATTATAGACAATTATTGTTGGGTCGAACTAAATATTGACTAAAAGTAAAAGTTTTGCATTTATATTGTATTTAAGTAAATCGTGAGGTTTTGCAATAGTTTGTTTAAAAATAAAAATAAAAAGTTTAAATCATTTGGGGTATTTGAACAGTTCTCTCATCTGAAAGCACAATTCCATGATCTTACACCACCTGATCACATATTGATGACAGTGTTTGTCTATCAATCTGGGTTTGTTCCTCCATTTTGGTAGACAATTACAATGATGAGCAGAGATTATTAGACTAAAATATATTTTAAAATAATGAGAAAAGTTGGTAGAGCAGTTGCCTATCAGCAAGAATCTGTTTCAATGTTGGTGTGTTCATTCATGCTCATCTGCTCACACGTACTCATGTTCATGTTTGTGCTGATGTTCGACGTGATGTTTTATGACATGAGTGCTTAGTGTATATTGAGTTGATGTTTTTCTTGGTTCATATGTTGGATGTTATTGCTGTTTTTCCTTTTGCATTTTATTGTTGGATGTAACTGGGACCCCGTGTACATAATTTCGCTCCACCACATGTACCACACGAGGTGCGAATGACAATAAAGAAACTCTGACTCTGAGAAGGTCATTGGGGAAAAAAAAAAAACGGTCGAAGAGCCTTTCTGGTTGGAGTTTGCATGTTCTCTTCGTGCATGTGTGGATTTTCCACTGGTACTCCAGTTTCCTCCCACAAACCAAAAACATGCATGTTAGGCTGATTGGTAACTCTAAATTGTCTCTAGGTGAGAGAGTGAATGGTTGTTTGTCTCGTTGTCTCCATGTGTCCCTGTGATGGACTGGAGACCTGTCCAGGGTGTCCCCCGAAGAAACAGGTACAAGAGTGAATGAATGAATGAATGGATGGATGGATGGATGGATGGATGGATGGATGGATGGAAGGGCGGATGGATGGATGGGTGGGCAGATGGATGGGCAGAGAAATTTTAAATAATATGAAATGTTTGTGCAACTAAGCACTGGATCTGGCAAAGGGAAAATGTGGGTTCAGACAGTTTTTTATTAAAAACATGAATTTCAGCGGAGTTTGGCTACAGTTTGTTCCTCTTCTTCAGTACTGACTCTAGTTGTGGAGAAGAACTTTAAGTATGGTCAGAGACCTCGCAAAACCTTTGCTTCATGTGCTCAAAACGGTGTCAGGCATTACATCACAAGCGATTGTTGGTTTTTTTTTTTTCTTTTTACAAAGTTTGACGATTCATCTCAAATGGAAACTAAACATAAAAAAAAAAAAATCTAAATTTAATAGTGAGCTCAGAAGTGAAGAGTGTGTGTGACTAATCAAAAACAAGTTTGTATTTTTATATCTGCAACAAGTCAAGCAGAAACCACGGTGTAAAAACCAGGCTGCTAACCTGGAGTAAAATAACTAAAAGGAGCTTTCAAAGAAAAATCAGCATTACCAAATATACGAGAACACACATGTGCTCCTTAGGCAGCCAGTGGAAGAGATCAGCGGGGTTAGTGGGCAGGATCTCATCATCCTGGAGTGTGGAGATGGTTTGGATACACTGCTGCAGCTGCTTCAGACACGGCTTCACGCTCTTTACCTGGAGGAAAAAAACAAAACATTTTACATTTCTATATCCCTGCTAACCATTAGCTTCATTAATCATAAACCCATTCAGAGTGTGTTTCCTACCTGTCCAGCATCCAGGTAGTGTGTGACCTGCAGGACCAGGAAGAAGACTCTCAGAGACTCCTTCTGGATGGGGTTTCCCTGCCAGTTTTCTACTATAGTTCCGCACAGTGTGAGAAGAGGGTGCACCTCACCGAGCTTCCTCTCCATTAGCAGCAACTGGACAGAAATTACATTTACATTAAAAAATTACTAAAATATTTCACGCCACGTGTAAAAACATAAATATTTCAGAGTCGTGATGAAACAGCAGAAAGGGAAACCAAAAGCAAAACTCACCATTCCTTTACTAAGAAGAAACAAAGCCCTGCAACATAGAACATTAAATGATGATACAGAAAAGTAATTTAAAACATGATCACATCAGACACTTATTGATTACATAGAACTCAGCACGAATGAAAAGACTCAACTGCAGAGAAGTGGAAGATTTTTGGAAATGTGATACAAGCTAATGAGTTGAGCTTAATTAATGACTTCATGCTGGACTTGAAGAGTCTTAAAAGGTTAAGACTTAAAAGTTACATGTGTTCACAATAAAGTTTTACATTTTGCAATTTATAAGCAGTTAACGATTTAAGCTAAAAAATGTGTTTTGTATTTTTTTTTTGTTCTTTACTCTCAAACGTTTTTAAGATTTATAAATGACTCTACAATAAAGGTCACAGTTATAAAATATTTGAGTACTCCCATCAAATAATCTGTTTTATTGTACATGTGCTTTGTCAGTTCTTATCAAACTTTTATCACTGAAGCCACCAGAGAAGTTCTGACACAGAATTTGTTTGAAGATAGGTGAGCTGCTCTTTAGAGCAGAGATATTAGAAGTAGGGATGCACCGATCCACTTTTTTTAACTTCCGATCCAATCCCGATATCATCATCATCATCATCATCATTGATTTTATATTAGGCTGTAATAATCTCCTCTCTATAGGCAAGTACAATTTGTACAAATATATGCATGTCCAAAAAAGCAACTTGAGGTAAGTTTTATTAATGTTGGCTAAGTTTCAACGTTAAATCCTGCAAACACAAAACATGTTTTTTGTTCTTATTCCTAGCTTTAATCTGGATATTAAAAGGATTAAATGGCTTTAAACATCTGCTAAGTTCATGGCATAAACCAACACAGACATGTTCCCGTTTTTAGTATTTTACATCACTTTATAATGTAGCTGTTTTTGTTTAATTTTATAATATATATATTTTGCACTGTTTTGCACTTCAAGAAAGAAGCCTAATACTTGATTTGTTTATAATTTAAAAACTCTTTGGACCTAATAGTGGAATTTTCTTAATTCAAAATATGATGGCAAAAGGACACCCTATGCTTTTTTAAATTCCTACAAAGTTTTATACCAAAAACATATTGCAATATATATCGTTATCGCCACCCGTCACAATACATATCGTGATATGAATTTTATGCCATATCGCACATTCCTACCACACAGTGGACATGTTTAGATGAAAAGTTGGTTAGCTGTTAGCCACAGCGTGCTGGTGAAGATTCTCAGTCATGCAGGACATGATAAATTCAAAAAAACGTTCAATACAAAAACAACTGGACGGAGCTACTTCCTCAGGACAAGACTCAGCTGTTCACCTCCACCTCACAGATAAGGGACACTCTTTTGAGGACCAAAATGTGCACATTTTGG